GGTGGTTGGTTGGTGGTTGGTTGTGTGGTTGGGTTGGGCTTTAAAACAAAAGACAAAACTGAGCGCCCGACACCTAAATGGCTGATGATACACACATGATGATGCACACAACACATCCCTCCCTCCACCCATCTAGCTACGTTCTGGACAAACAAACAACGAGGCGGCTGGCCTGGCCTGGCCTGTCTGCGCCTCTAGATCTGACACACACCACGCCACACAGCCCTACACCACAGCACACCACATACAGGAATGAATCAGCCCCCCTTTCCCCTCCCTGCCTCCCTGTCCCCGTCCCGGCCCTATACTCAACACAAGCCTACGTACCTATCTGACAGCCACACCACACACAGCGCGCCCACCCAATTACACCAAAAAAGCTATGGGCACTTTTCTGGACACTGAGAAACAAAGAAAGCCCGCAAAGCCAGCAGTGGTCGATGGATGACATCTATGAACCGACCACAGCAGCTGGCCGGCCATAAAGAAATAACGTACGCACCGTACCCCCTACTTACTGCCCCTCTCTGAGACCCACCCCACCCCGCTGGCTGATCTGCTGATGTCATCACACACAGCCATTTAGACACACATCCATCCCCCACACAGGCAGCAGTCAGCACGCAGCAAAGGACGAATTGCCGACGGATGGATAAAACACCGCGCCCGCCCTTCCCCGAGACTGCTCGAAACGTTCGGAGCGTGTGATGCGCTAGAAGGTTGTGGGGACGTCCTTCTCGTCGTAGTCGACATACGCGATGTAATCTTCGACAGAAAACTCAACCGTGCCGTCGGACTGACACACACAGAGGCAAGCCATGCCATCAATGACACAACACACTCGTGTGGTGGGCATGGTGAGTGAGTGAGTGAGTGGTGAGTGTGCCTCTGTTGTTTGCTCCCTCACCTCCACGTAGGCCGTCCCCACAAGCGACCGGAACAGCTGCACACACACGCGCACACAGACAGACGGCATGGACCAACCAACACATGAATGGCCTTCCTTGCGGTGGGTGCAGCGTGTCTTGTCTTACGGTGCGTATGGCGGCCCCCGAGATGGACGTGTTAAGCCTGTAGTATCTTGTGGTGCTGGTGCTCTCCGCGCGGATCACCGACGGGTCGTCTCGCCAATCCACTATCGTGCGACCTATCAGCCTGCAAAGCATCAACACACACACAGAGAGAGACACACACAGGGAGAGTGCCCGCATGGCCCACCCATGCTGCTCTCTGTGTGTGTGTGTGCAGACCCATACGTACGTTCCATCGTTGTAGACGCTCGAGTTGATGTGTCGGATGGCGATGTCCACTGGGAAGGCGTTGCGCAGCGTCAGCCGCGCCAGCACCCGCATGTTGATCAGCGGGATGCCCTACACACACCACACACACCACACACCACACACAAAGGATGATACACACACGTCACGTCCGCACAGAGAGAGATCCACTCCACTCACCCTAAGGTCGAGCTCCACCCCCTGCATGAGTTTGTTCCTCGCCCCAGGAATGGTCATCCGGCTCTTCCACGACCCAAACAGCACCTTCAGCAGCTCGTTCCGCGAACTGTCCCCCCGACCCCTCACCTCCAACTCCGTCGGCAGCTGGCTCACATACCTCGACAGGAACACACGGGTCCCCGCACGCAAGTCGGGGCCGGGAGCCGGGTCGATCCGCACTTGCACGGGGGTCGTGCGGTTCTCCCCGTTGACAAGCGCGAGATCTGGCACCGTCACTTCCCCCACCTTGACCAGGATGGTGTCGCCCTCGCCGTCGCTCTCGTCGAGGATTGTCATGCTGTCGGGGAGGGACGATTCGAGAGAGCGGTCGGTGGGCAGGTAGAGGTCGAGGGAGACGTCGCCGAGGTGGGCGGAGAGAAAGCCTTGGTGAGCGATCCACAGGTCGGTCTCGACGATGAGGGCGTCGGCGGTGCCGCCTGTGACCTCGGTCCCGAACACACCACTGCGGTCTTCCAGGGTGCCACCGATATCTGCTCACACACACACACACACAGAGAGACATGGACCAACCCACCCTCTACACGGAGACCATTGGCGGCCGTCTTACGTTCGATGTCTCTCCTGAGGGTAAGGTCGACTTCGCGCACCTCGAGCTCGCCCACGGCGGTCCGCACAGCCAGACTCGCCCTCCCGCTCAGCTCCAGCATCGATGGCCCACTCTCCTCCACAAGTGAAGCCAGGAAAGCCTGGAAACGCTCCCGCTCCTCGCCCTCTTCTATCTGCAGGGTCGCGTCGGCGAATGACGCCCTGAAAGCCCGCAGCCGGGAGGCATTGTGGGCGGGAAAGGCTTCTGCGGAAGGGGTGAAAGGCGAGACGCTGGTGGTGGAGAGGGAGACGCGGCCGAGGGGGGGCTCGAGGGAGCTGTCCTTGACGCGCCAGAGCTCGACCGTCTGGTTCAACTCGATGACCTGCAGCGGCAGCAGGGACATGACTGTCTCTGTGTGTGTGTGAGTGTGTGTGAGTGTGTGTGAGTGTGTGAAGGTTACCGTGTGTGTGACATCGACCGCCTCAGGCAACTGGTAGACCACCTCCACCTTGCCCTGCAGCACCGGTCCGCCGCCATCTCCACCTCCACCACCTCCCGCAGAAGTGGTGAAGTCGAACATGAGTGAGTCCAGCGCCACATTGACAATGAACTCGCCGCTCTCCACACCCACAGCACCCACACCAGCACCCTCACCATTGCCCTCCCCCTCCGCCACGGCCACATCTCCTCTGGAGGATGGTGACAGCTCCACATCCAGCGACAAAGCCTCCATGGCCATGAGCACCCACGACCTCTCCTCGCCGTCGGCGGCCTTCTTGCCTTTGATGGTGATGGGCAGCGGCCGTCTGTCCACCATGGCGCTGAGGAACGCGGAGGCGGTGTCGCGGTCGGTGATGCCCTCTTGGATCACACCGCTGACCACCAGCCGGTTGGCGCCACGCTTCAACGTCACGTCAGGCGCGACCAGCTCCGCCAGGCGGCCGCTGTCGTACCAAACCTCAAGCTCGATGTCGCCCAGCTCGATGGAGGCAAGGGAGCCATCGCTGTCGCCTCCGATGACCACGTCAAAGGCTGCCTCCATGACAAACCCC